AAAAAAAACACGATGAGCGTTACAAACCCGCTACTTCCGCTCTGCTCAAACATTGCTTGATTCACAGCCATGATGACATCGGGTGTTTGGAAATTCAAAGCAACCATCTGGAACATTGGCAATCAGAATTGCTAGGTTTGCGTCCATCGAAATAATGCCTTACCTGTAAACCATGAGCCCAGCAGTTGATTGGATTGAAGTTGGACGAGTCGTAATGCTTTGCAGACGGATATGTTCGAATTAGCTGCAATACTTCCGTGAGTGCAACGCTGTTTTGCGCAAGCAGAAAGTATGAGCGATTCGTGCACGCTGAGACAGGACGCCATTGCGTACGCTGTGTACGTTTCTCTGACAAAACGCGCGCACTTTCATCCCCTCACCGTTTACCGTCTTCTCCAAAACCGGACTATCTTGGTCGCAATAGTGTTAGGCTGCTGCAAGGACGAAGGGATATCTTTGAGCACGAACCCGGCTTTATTAGCCGCAGAGCGCATGAGGCGCAGGTTTGTAACGGTGAGAATACGCGCGCCGCGCTCGCGCCCGCTCAACTAATACTGCCTCTGCGCCCTCGTCATGCACTAGCCTATACAATCCTTGCGCGCGAACCCGCTTTTAGCGTAAAGAAAAGAAAGTATAACTCACATGGTCTCTCGTGTATGAAATGCACTTTAGCGGATGTCTCTTCAGTAGCTTTTTCGCGGCGTTTTCATTCAGCGACGTGACTTGATAGCAATTAGCTGAGACATTTGGACGAGCACCAACGAACAGAGTCGACTCCGTTATTGAAGTATCCTGCAACGACTGTGATGAGGTTTCAAAGCCTTTTTCAAATCTTTAGTTTCTAGCACATACCTGACTGACTTGCGTAGTACTGCGTTGTCTTCTTGGAGGTGTTGGTGTGCTCAGCAGACTTGTTTGCGTACGAGTTCGTGTGGACCACAACGAGTTGGCAGTACCTATTTCCTCTTCCGCAGAGTGCGTGGATGTCGTTATTTCTACAGTTGGGAATCCCTGCAAAAGGTGAAATTCAAACTGCTCATGAAATGTGAAACGACTGATGGCTTACCTTGAATTTCACGGCCTGCATGTAAACTACGATATCGGACAGCTCCTGCGCAATTTGCAATCCGGTATTCACTTTCCTTGCACCTGACCTTAGCCCAGGACTGGCAGCAATTGGTGAGCTACCGATATCGTCTTCCTCGGTTTTTGTGTCGTAGAGCTACAATGGTTCACGAATCACTTAGATACTAGGCTCGTTTGTAAAGCATTTATCCTGTTCAAAGCAGATTTTTCCAAGTCGCGACACTGTTACTTGCCGCTCAAGCTTTTTCAGGCTACGTTTAGAGTTGCGCGCGTGCAAGCATCCACGTTTTAGCATCCTTTCGATCGATCGAAGGTACTAGTACGGCGCTGGCACGCGCGAAGTCTAAATACAGCCTGATGCGATAGGTTCGCGCAGCAACTTGGCTCTAACCATCTGTTTATGCGGATAATGTCGACGTAACCTTATAAAATATTGAACCGGTGCTTACCCCACTGAATGAAGTAGCCGGTTTCTTGCTAGCTTGGTCATTCGGCTCATTAGTGAGCGAATCGGGTTTAGCACCGGAGGACTTTGTTGACCCCTTACTGACTTGCGGACTCTCTGCAGCACGGTCACATCGTATTGCTGAAATCGGTGAATTTACGAGTAATGTGTATGATAACAAATGCGAGATGCTACTATTCTCCTCTGTGAAAAAAACATTTTAGAAAGTTGGAAGTTTTTACGAGCTCTAATTATGCTAGTGGATAAAAATAAAGACCAGACATATAAATAACTAATAATAAATGAAAATGCATAATTACATGCAAATATCAAAATAATTTGTATGATTTATTTGTAGATGAGATTAGAAAATTTTTAAAATTGTTTTTGCCTCTTATTATACTAGCGCTCATGTAATCCTACTTTTCAAGCTTGTAAAAATTAGACTTGTAAAAAATCGAAAAAACTCCCGCTACGGCGGTGCTACATACGCAATCTCTATCTTCAAAGAATGTTAGTTTTGCCATTTACCCAACATGCAATTTCATCTTCTTTTTCAGTCTTTCCTACCAATATTTTTGATTTCACATCGAGTTTTTTTGTGACCTGAGTACAATAACTTTTCATTGCGCTAAGCTGGCCTAAGCTTTTGTGATAGGACCACTAGGCAAAGCGGTGCAGACAAAATTTCTGGATTTTGACCATGCTTCTCATGCTTCTCAAATCTCTTTATACAACCAACAGTTATCATGATAACTGCCTTGCGTGTAAAAAAACTGCTTACCTTCAATTTCGTCTTCTTCATTCTCTTCATCATCGAGGAATTCGT